ACTCTGGATCTTCCTACAAATAAACCTCCTTCATTCCAACAATAATGAAGACAAAAAATCAGGTGTCTAAATGGCTCATAAAGAGTATGTACAAGATGTACCATGTCAAATACTTAAAATTGACTTAAAGGAAATAAAAAGCAATTTCCAGAATAAATCAAGTGAGAAGGGAAAATCCATTATCCTGAAAATGTCAATATCTTCTATTTTCTATTAATACCAAAAACATTAACAGTATTTTCTGTGTCATTCATAACTTACCAGCTGAGCGGAATTAGATGAATACTGATTTTCTACCTTAGTTTCCCTAACACAGATTACACAAGTGTTGGGCTAGGCCTGATGAACCCAGAGCTCCTAGGCTACTTGCTTCTAGCCATGAATAGTCCAACTCTCCATAGCATGCTATAAAGATGACATCAGAATTTTGTGTTATGACAAAGATAGAAACCACTCCTCTAAGTCATGCATTTTGTCATGAAAAAAGTACATAAAATACTAAGTTAAGCTTGTCACAGAGATTATAAGAAACATGAAGTAATGTTTTAGAAGAGTTAGGAGAACACAAAGGCCTATCATATTATCTTATTTAGATACAATGATCAACTTAATAAAAAAAAAATCCCACAAGAAGATAACAAAGAGTACATTTGTCAAAAATGAAAACTAAAAACTGACCTGACCAGAGGATGCCAACAAATTAATTGTTGTCAGAAGCATCCAGCCTCTACTGGCTTCTTCACTCTGATTGATCTCCAGGAACTGGACTATGGCCCGACTTGCAGCCTCTATAAAATCAAAGAGAAAGCCATTAGGTTGCAGGTAAAATCAATTATAAAAAAATTCTTTAAAATCTACCAAGGAAATAATCATTTACTAAGCTGAGCCTTCTTATATCAGCACTATTACACACTCTATGAAAAAAAAATTTAAAGTTATGATGTTTTAATGGTATACAAAAAAACTACCTTCACTAATACAGAAATATAAAAGTCAACCTATATATATTTTAGCAAAAAAGAATGACATAAACTAATCAAAAAGAGTTATGGGAAAGAGTGAAATAAGAATTAAATCTGCCTGGAAAACTTGTACATGTTGTCCAAGAAATGGGAGGGCTGAAAGGCATGGAGAGAAGCAAGGCACTGGAACAAGTGGGGCTAGAGGAATGAGCCTGCTGAACACGGATCAAGACCAAGAACTGCATTAACACTGTTGTAAAAGAGCATATGTTCAGAGGCAGAGCCTACTATCAACAGCAGTGATTTAAAAAATATAGACACCTGATTATGAAAGAAGGCAATCTAAGGGCTGTGGCTGACTCTTAGAACAAATACAGTTTCCTGGGCAAAGTAGAAAGGGCTATTCTAAGACTACCTATCTAGCTATAATGCATAAGGCAGACTGGAAGAACAAGGACTGGTGGAAAGGAAATAAAATGAAGAGTCTACCTAGGTAAAACCTGAGAGGCTGACAGCAGGCATAGAGAAACAGAGATATAGGAGAAAGTCATTCACAGAACTGTTGTTGAGTGAGCAAATTTAGCTGGTTATGTTTTTAGAGAGAAGAAAAAAATGAACAAATTCTAAACATGCACTTAATTTCATCTGCAGTTTTCCAATATTTATATTGATTTATAAGATGAATTAAAGTTATCAGAAAATAAGTCCAAACTGTTCACTATGCCTGAAAGACACTGATGTATACTTAACTTCATAAAATAGAAGCAGTAAAATTTAGAGGCTCAGATGTAATTTTTCTTCAATTTAACCCATTCAAAAGTGCTTTATTAGAATACTGAATACAAGACCTATATATGATTCTGTACGGACATTATTTCCTTATATGCTTCCATCTGAGAAAACATTTTACTGGGACAACTTTTAAAGTAGCTTATTTTATTGAGTCTAAATTATAATTAAAAATTATATTGAAGTACTTGAGTGTTTAACTCACTTAATCTTCACAAAAACCTTGAGTTATTTTCTATTAATGTACCCCTCATTCCAGCATAAATCAAGAAATGAAGAGGATAAGCAATTCGCCAACAGCCACATAACTAGTTAGTGAACTCATATTTGAATCTAGGCAATCTAATCTATAAGAGATAAAGATAGTGATTAACAAAAAATTACAAGAAACAAGGGAAGGCAACAGAAGCCTGATTTATTTCTAATACCTCAATATCTCCTAAGTGTTGAGGTTATTGTTTTCTTGTATTAACTAATTTATAGTCTCTCATCCCTATCTAGAAAATAAACACCATGATTAGACTCTTTGTAAGCCTCGTTCACTGTAAATCCTTGTTATCTAGCACATTACTAGCACATAGACAGCACATCTGAATGAATCAATCTACCTAGACCAAAGGAATGATTATAACAGAAGGACACACTGAGCTCAACTTCTTATACACACCAAGAGTTTGGGCTTAATATGGGTAAGAAAGTTTAAGTTTTAAAAAGGGGAGTAATACAAAGAAAAAAATACTTTGGGTTATCTAAATTCTACAGATATACTGTAAGAGAAGAGGCAAAACAATTATTTTGGGGGTTCAAGAAGATAGAAACTCATAGTTAAGGCACATTTTGAACAAGTTAACAATACTAACTTTAAAAAAAGCTGT